AATTAATTTAAATTATAAATTATTTTTGTTAATTAAAAATACAAAATAAAAAAGTATTTTATCAAGTGAATTTTATTTTTAATGTGTAAATTACTTTATAAATTTTTAAGAAACTCTTAATAAAATTTATGCTATTTTAATTCAAATATTTTAGTTATTTTATTAAAAATATTTTAATAAAATTATAAGGGTCTAATTATTTTATATTTTAATATATAATTTAAACTGTTTTACATAGATTCCAATAAAGAAATTACTACTCCTACTTTATAATTTTTTACTATTTTGATATTTAATCCAACCAAAAAACATTGTAATGTATTATGTATTAGCAAAACGTATATGTTGTTTTGAATTAAAGAAATTCAATTTTTTTAAATAAAATTTTAAATTTAAACTTTATAAACAAAAAAAATAAACTTCTCATTACACGAATTTAATAATAATTTTTAATTATTTAAAATTTAATATAATTATCATATATTAAAAGCCTCGTATAAAACAAAATGTATTAGGTATTGGATTTAACACTTCTAACAAAAAAAAAGAAAAAAAAGGTACTCTCAGTTTCCTTTGATTTCCGATCTTTATCTTCTTCACACCCAAAGCCAAAAACCTCACCAATCTTAACATCTACTATCAAAACAAACAATTCAACCTGAAATTCTCTGCGTCTTTGAATGCATCTTGCGTTTTCAGTTTATATGAAGATGGAATCAACTGGTGAAAGAGAAAATGAGAGTACAACACTGATACCTGGAAAGTGATGATGATGATGATGATGGTGATAGAATGGGGACTGAGGGATTTGTGGAAGCGATTGGGGTGTTGGGTATTGGTATTTGTGTTTGGATTGGCGGCTCCGGTGGTTGGATAACAGAGAGCAGAAACAATGGCTGTGGGGCATTCAGGTTCAGGTGGGAACTTGGCAGACTCTTACAAGGGAACGTCGGCGGATAACATTAAGGGATTGGTATTGGCATTGTCTTCCAACTTCTTCATTGGCGCCAGCTTTATTGTTAAGAAAAAAAGGCTTGAAGAAGGCTGGTGCTCCTGGGCTTAGGGCGGGTATTCCACTTTCCACATCTTTGTTTTTTTTCCCCTTTTTTTTTTTTTTTTTAAGAAAAAAAGGCTTGAAGAAGGCTGGTGCTCCTGGGCTTAGGGCGGATATTCCACTTTCCACATCTTTGTTTTTTTTCCCTTTTTTTTTTTT